CCGCGTTGAGTCGCCGGCTAGGCTGAGAAACGGCGGTATACAAGTATAGCAAATAAAATAAATAATAAATAAATAAGTCAAGGGCAGATTTTGGAGGCAAAATTATAGATCGTGATATGACCCATGAATAAGTCGAGGGCCATTTCGATGAGAGGGGAAGTCATCAATTCTGCCGAAAGGGCCAGATTCTCCTGTAGCCATTTTCCCACCCAGGCATTCAAAAAGGTCAGAAGCTATATCACTGCTGAAAATCTCATCCTTTTTGCTAGGGCTGGCAAGGGAACATCCTGGCTTAGCACTAACAAGAGCCATGCTTCTCTCACTACTTCTGTATCACATTGATCCCAAGTAATAGATGCTATTTCAATAACTGGCAGATCTTTCAAGAGAAAAGGAGAATATGCAAACTAATTTACATATCTTAGGGCAGGGTCCTCAAACTAAGGCCCGGGGCCCGGATGCGGCCCTCCAAGGTCATTTACCCGGCCCTCGCTCAGGGTCAACCTAAGTCTGAAACAACTTGAAAGCACATAACAACAACATTCCTATCTCATCAGCCAAAAGCAGGCCCACATTTCCCATTGAAATATTAATAAGTTTATGTTTGTTAACATTGTTCCTCATTTTAATTATTGTATTGTTTTAAAGTGTTTTTTACACTACAAATAAGATATGTGCAGCATGCATAGGAATTCATTTTTTTTTCAAATTATAATCTGGCCCTCCAACAATTTGAGGGACTGTGACCTGGCCCTCTGTTTAAAAAGTTTGTGGACCCCTGTCTTAGGGGAACCATATAGATATCCAGGAAAGACTTTACATTCTGGGTGGCAGGTACCTAATCAGATCTTGTTTATATATTATATACAGTAAAATGCTTTAATCCTGACATGTCAGGTAAGATGCTTTCTCCTTCAGTTCTCATAGCCTCAGGACACTGTTTATTAATGCATCCATTCCTTTCATTAAGAAACAAACAAGTGTAAATGTCTCCTGTTCTTCAAATGTCTTCCTCTGCAATCTCAAAAATGAGTTACCTTTCTTCTAGTTGGGAGGTCTGCAGACCCACCTAAATGACTTCAACCCATTGGCAGGTAAGACACAGAGATAATGTCAAAACCATGTTCAAACTTCTCTAGGGACGCTGTGCCTTTAATATTATGCAGAACTGTGGCTTTCAAACACAATTCTGCATTCAAAGGAATTGCCCTGCTCAAATTCCCTCTTCTATAGGTCTACTAAAATTAGCTCTGCCTCAATCATCCTAGATGGGAAGTATTCCAATATAAAACTTGTGGTGTTAAAGGAAGTGAGCTGCTGCTTTAAATCAAACACAAAGCTTTATAATCTGTTTGTCACTGAATGCCCTGAATCCATTTCAACAACTCAATAATGTCTAATGATAGATATGGGGGAATACAACTGAACATAAAAATGTCATTTGAAACAATCAGTGAGTAATATACCCAATATTAGAAAGATGTGAAATACCGAAGACAGTCTGGCATCTGATAAGACAGTCAGGCATCTTAAAGTAATAGAGCTGACAAACACATAAGAAATGATTCATAAGGTCAGGTAAGAAATAAAAACAAGGAACAAGAACCTCTAAGAGGAAGAATAGTTCAAAGGTACAATATTTACAATGGAATAAACAATAAAATAAAACATGATCTAGGTAAGTGGAAGACATTTTATGGACCACACAGAGGTTTTCTTATACCTCTGCAAGGTCTGAAAAGAGTGCCTGGCTTGTGCTACGTCTCAGAGTATCCCAATAGCTTCTTGGAACAAGGTCCTCTCCTTCTGTTTTTAGCACCTGTAGAATTTGCAAGATGTATCATTATTGAGAAGGGGGGGGGGGAGGGACAGAGAATCACCAAAAGGAACTTATACATTTTTATATTTTTGCTAGCTATTCTTAGAAAATGAAAATGCTGTAAGAATTACCCACTCTAATTCCTGTACAAATACTGAATGACAGAATCCTGAGACCACAACACCATTTTCAAAGAAGAAATGTTCCCAAGATTCAAATTCTTTATTCATTATAACATGAACTTGCAAGAAATATAATTTCAACTTTTGAAAAAGTATAGTTTTGCACATGGGACCTTAATATATAGAACTAAATGCAATTGTTAGTCACAACTACAGTAAACCTATTAAATCAATGGAACTTAAATAAAAATTGATTTATCAAGTTCATGTTGATTTAATTACTCCTCTAGTGAGGAATAAGAATTGGATTTACATCATCATTTTCAATTCAGTACTATAGTAAAAAAACCCAAAACATTGAAGTAATTTCTACCCATTTTAAAGAGACCAGTTCTCAAATCAGAAGTTCATACTCTTACTTCATACATAAATAACCCAACCCTTGCATGCTTAGAATATTTTCATTGCATTTTAGATAACAATAATGTGGATCCATGCCAAAAAATATTGCCTCACTTACAGAATATTCCATTGAAAGAATTTAGACTTTATTTAGCCAATATTAACATGATTTCTCTGCATCTTGTTATTAATATTGTCTGAACTGGAGCCAGTTAAAGTTAGTCTTCCAGTAGGCATTTGATAATGTTTAGACAGTAACCAGAACTAATTACGAATCACTTAGCACTTTATATCTACATTCTGTGCATTCAGCTAGGCTGCTATATTGATCACATGGATCTTTTAACTGGTTCTATATTAATAGAGGTTGTTTTATCCAATTTATATACCTGGTTTATGGAATGTTATTATTGTTTTCATTTTGATGTATTTTATTTTATGTCTTATATATTTTATGTATGGCATCTTTGTGTGCTATTTTGTAAACCGCCCCAAGTCTGGGATATAAATAAAGTTTTATTATTTATTATTATATTACTGTATCTTTAACTTTGGCTGGCTGATAGTTCTGATCAACAGCCAATTTAAAAAAAGATGTAAAAGTATATGTATAGATAAAGAGAGTGAGAGAAGCAGGCAGAAAGAGACGGAGCGTGTGCATGTTGAGCTGCATATTTACTGCTAGTGTAAAGGTTTTCTTCAGGCAAGAAAAGGAATCTTAGTTATATGTAAAGAAAATATGCTGCTGTATTATTTTTCTGTAGTGACATTAGATCACAGAGGGAATGTTACAAGAGTGTGTTTTTATACAATGTCACAATTCTAAAATAATCAAAAATTATATTATTAATTTACATTCTGATCCTTAATTATTGTCAGAAAGAAAGATAAGAAATTTTGATTAAAATTCTAAACAAGTGCACATGGGAATATAGAGTTAATAGCTGGGGTGGCATACAGGAGCAGCCAACTCCCATGTTGCATCAGCTCCACTGGCTGCCAGTTCACTACCGAGCACAATTCGAAGTGCTGGCTTTAGCCTATAAAGTCCTAAACGGACCCGCTCCAGTTTACCTGTCCAAATGCATCTCCCTCTATGAACCACTGTGGAAATTAAGATCTTCCGGGGAGGCCCTGCTCTTCGTCTCACCATTGTCTCAGACGCGATTGGTGGGGACGAGAGAGGGCCTTCTCAGTGATGGCTCCTTGGCTATGGAACTCCCTCCCTGGTGAGATTAGATCAGCCCACTCCCACCTGTCCTTCAGAAAGATGGTAAAAACTTGGCTGTAGGACCAAGCTTTTGGGACAGTGCAACATGGCAACAATAGGAAACTCTACCCTGCTGACCAGATCCGGTATGGCTGATCTGAGATGGTTTTAAACAATTGATTTTAGGTGGAGACAATTGATTTTAGTGTTTGTGTATATTTATAGTTTATTTTATGTTCCGGCATTGAATTTTTGCCATATATATGTTGTGCTCCACCCTGAGTGCCCCTCAGGGTGAGAAGGACAGAATATAAATGTTTTAAATAAATAAATAATTGCTCCTGATTTGGAACCAGTTTTGTGTAAACCTTTATGTTGCAGTTTTGGATTCTGTTTTATACAAAGTACAGATAGGTTTGAAAAGCCACTGTAATTTCTTATTGGGGATGAAAGAATGAATGGAGGAGACAAAAAAACCTGACACCAAGAACTTGGTGCATACCAGGCTACTGCAACTAAATCACTCAGTGTTTATAAAGGACAGTGGAAAAAGACGGATTTTCTATCTTATACTTTGTTTGTTACATAGCACATTTTACCAACTGATCCCTCTGAGAGCCGTTTTCCTTTTAACCACGGGTTCATGACATACTCAAACATACCCTAACATGTTTCTATACTTCTTTGTTGATTGATTGGCGGTACAAGAAAGTCCCAATGACTACTTTGCTAGCATCATAAGTCATCCCTTATTCTCCTGAAGACAGAAGAAACAATCTCCTCAAGAACTTTCATACAATGTATGAGTTACATAGAACTGGCCAGTAAGGTCTGAAAACTCTGTGCATTCTTGTGTGCTTCCATTCTGTCTTGTGACATACAAGTGACAGAATAAAAAAATCTCAGGGGAAGACAAATAGAGCGGAGATTGTTGTGTTTCCAGCACTGATGGGGAGCATCAGCCAATCAGTACCTGAGGAAGAAGGATTTTTCACAAGCAGCCATGGAAAGCAGCACTGATTCCACTCCACCGGGAAGAAACACATATAATTCCATTGGAGCTCCTCTAATCACTATGTTCTAACAGCCTTTCTTTTTTATTAATCCATCTTGCAGAATGTAGACAGCCACGGGTTGACTGATTTGCCTCATTCACAGATGGCAAGGAAGAGACACAGTGGCTCTGTTGGACTCCATTATTTTTCCTAACAGGTGGGACAATAGTGCTCATCAGAGAAGTGAGTTATCTGATCCCTGGATCATTGTTTCATGTCAGGCCAACACAATGCCGCTATTGATAAAATTGTGGGTGTTTTATTCTTCATTTACTATAGGTTTATGTGTCTTAAGCTCCCCCACTAACACCAAAACAATAATCTTAATGCTCCTCTGCATCCCTAGAGTATGCTTGCACTGAAATTCTGGGTCAAGAATGGAAGAAATCATATTTGAATCAAAAGTATTATCAAATTTAACTCTTTTATGAAATTTGATTTTATAGGCTCAACTCAGTTTTTACTTTATAGGCTCAACTCAGTTCTAATAAAATTAGTATTTTTAGATTATACATGCTTCAAAAAATATTGTGATACTGTAAATAGCTGTGACACAGTTCAGCCAATCATAAGGCACATGCAATACATGCTGACTGAATGCAAAAGGCAAAACTCCAGACAAGAAATACACAAAGCATAAAGGACAGATGCAAGTCCCGCTGTTGTACTAATTTTTCCGTCAATACATAGTATTGGCCTTCATTGTTTAATAATAGAATTCACACTAAAAAAGGCAACAACAGTAGCAGAAATATAACGATTTCATGACAACTAGTTTTAGTTGAAATCAATTCTTGTGTGTCGCTTCTGCTCTAACCATTCTAAACTACCAATGGCAGGCTTCTTACTAAGGCTTGTTTCAAGTTCATTTTTACCTGTAAATAAACACATTTATCCCAAACCATTACTGAACATAAAGTTTGTCTATCCTTGTAGAATCATAGAGTTGGAAGAGACCACAGGTGACATCTAGTCCAATCCCTTACCATCCAGGAAAATATATCCTGACAGATGACCATTCAGACTCTGCTTAAAAACCTCTAGAGAAGGTGACTTCACCATTCTAAGGAAGCATATCCCATGGCTGAAGAGGTCTTACAATCAGGAAATTCTTTATAATATTTACGTGGAATCTTCCTCATACTTTTGGGTTAATCGGATGTTCTCTCCCTTTGTAAATGCCTCTATGGGTCTTTTTATTCAAAACATGATAGATTAATACTTGATACAATAAAAGCATTTTGCAAAGTACAGTACATACTGCGTTAGTAGGACTATGGTATCCATAAAGTTGGAGGTGCTGATAAATTGCCACAAGAGTGAAGAGGTATGTTTCAAAATGAAGAGTTGTGTTTGGAGATAAAAAGAAAAATACAGAAGACAATAGGTTAAGATGCACATGTTCCATTTGAGAAGTTATGAGAAGGCTCAAGTTCCTTTATTTGTAATGAAATATTGTTAGAAAAATTAAATGTAATCCTATTTCTATAAGGAAATCCAATCCAAGTATTGTCATCATTATAATAAAACCATGAAAGATAAAAGGAACAGGGCTGAATTTCACAATCCACACATTAATTCAGCTTCTAAATGGACATAAGCCTTTATTTAACATTAGCTTAGGGACCCGGCGATGCCCAGGTTTTTCTGAGAAAGGCATTGTGTGCTCTTGGGAAGTTAGTGAAGGTACTGCAAGTCCCATCGTCCATGGTCCAACCTCCTCCAAGCCACACCAGGATGTAGAGTGGGTCATGGGTGCTCTGTGTGCCAAGTTTGGTCTTCATCAGTCATTGAATGTGGGTTGCAGTGGTCTCAGGAAGTGAGTGGAGGTACTTCAAGTCCCATCATCCATGGTCCACCCTCCTCCAAACTGCAGTAGGATGTAGAGTGGGTCATGGGGATTCTGTGTGCCAAGTTTGGTCTTTACCAGTCTTTGTTGGGGGCAGCAGTGGTTTGTGGGAACTAAAGGGTTTGAAAGCACTACACATCCCATCATCCATTGTCTGTCCTCCCCCAAACCTCACCAGGTTGTAATGGCGGCCATGGGGGTTATGAGTGCCAAGTTTGGTCTTGTTAAGTCATTGGATGAGGGTCGCAGCAGTCTCGGGAAGTGAGTGGAGGTACTTCAAGTCCCATCATCCATGGTCCTCCCTCCTCCAAACTGCAGTAGGATGTAGAGTGGGTCATGGGGGCTCTGTGTGCCAAGTTTGGTCTTCATCGGTCTTTGTTGGGGGCCATAGTGGTCTGTGGGAACCAAAGCATTTGAAAGTACTACAAATCCCATAATCTGTGGTCCAACTCAGCCAGACCGCACCAGGATGTAAAGTGAGTCATGGGGGTTATGTGTTCCAAGTTTAGTCCACGTTCACCATTCGTAGCGGTCACAGTGGCTTGTGAAAGTGGCAGCCAATCAGAAAGCTACCACATACACCACTCTCCCTCCCTCCGCATACAAACACTGACTTTTATTATATACATAGATATACAGGCTTTTCCACATTCTCTCTGTGCCTGCTGTGGAAAAAGACTAGAAAAAAGCCAGAATAAAAACAACAACAAAGCAAGATTATAAGGGAGGTGCTGGGGGGAGGGGTGGTTGCTGTGCCCTTTACTCATTTTTAAAAGAGCCCGTATGGTATATGAAGGTACAATATAGCCTAAAGGAAATGCTAAATCTTACTGATCTTTCTTAAAAATTCTCATCCAACATGAGCAAAATGTTACTTTTTCGTGACAGGTTTTGAAGGCTTTGTGTGTGGAATAGAAATTCTCTCCCCATTCCCCTGCTTGCTAGGATAGAATTTCTTATTTCTTGGGATTTGAAGTTCAACTTGAAGTTCAACTTGACAGAGCTGGAGCAATTCTGCCAAGGAGGGGAAAAAACTGCAGAATCTAGACATGCAAAGATAATAGGGTTATCCAAAAAGACACATGGCTGTAAGGGCTCTCAAAAGTGGGGAAATTAACTGAAATGGCAAATATTTATTTTGCGAATAAGATCCAGTTTGCTTTTATTTACATTTTATTGCACAATAAAAACATTTTGCAGCTTGACATTTTAAGTGTCTTGTATATCAAGAGTATCTTGAATAACAAGTGGTATATTTTAATTGTATTTTCTACACCATTTTAGGTGGTTGGATTATCTTTTTGTTTCTTCCCTCCTGCTGGGAGCTTACTAAAGTGCAGATGAGCAGTTTATGGGTCAGGATATGCATGTTGTCACATTTTTTTGTGGGAGGAATTTCCGAAGGTGAGCCTCAGCCTTCGTTTTGTGAGCTGAGATGCTTGGGGAAGATGCAAGTGTGTCTGGATCACAGGTCTATTTGGTTGGGGGATGTGAAAGGCAATGGTTTATTATATTGAGGGCTTTGCAGACCTGGAAATGGATCAGGATGAGCAGGAGGAAATGAAATTAGAAAGAGAAGAAAAATAGATGAAGAGAAGAGGGAAAATGGCCACAGAAGACTTAGCAGTGGCTAGCAAGGTCCTTATGAAGTCCCAGAGGAAGTCAATGAGTCATATTTCCAATTGCTCTAGCACAATGACTGTAACTTTTTGTGGGTAAAGAGTGGCCAAGGAGGAAAGAAGAGAGAAGGGGAGGTCAGCCAACTGTTGCTGTTTTACTTGCTTGCCTCTGCTTGGTTGTCCATCAAAAGAAACATCTTTGCAATAGAAGCACCACTAGGAGAGAGACAGGAATGCTGGAGAGTATGTGTTTGGAAGTAGCTATTGTGCACACAAACCCAAGGGGAGGAAACCATAATACATGAGGAAACTGTGGCAGATTCCTCAAAATATGACACTGTGTTTTGGATATTGTCTAGTGGTAAATGCCTCAGAATTTGATAATTTTTTTGACTATTCAACTTTGGCCAGGGACATGTTGAAATTCCAAATGATGGGTTTTTCTAGAAGCATAACTCATTGAGTCACATGGGTGCAATAAATGCTATGTGTCCATATGCATTCTATGATTCTTTGATCATGTCAATGTATTTTCACTAAGATTTTCATTTCAGTTTAAATTTCAGACAAAACAACTTCATGTGCCTGTGACTGTTTACTATGAGCCTAAAGTCTTATTCCATGTCTAATATGAGGAAGGAGTTCAAATAATCACATAAAAATGCAGATCAACCTTTTGCTCAAGTTTCTTTTGTGGACTTACCAACATAGCACGCTTCTCTTCATTTCCTCTTCTTTCTTTCTTCTCATTTTTCTTTCTGAAGATGTCTTGCAGCTGTAAAAGAAGTCAATTGTATCATCTGCAACTGTTCTAATATATTTATAACTGAGGCCATACATGCCAGTGTCTTCAGGATCAATTCGGCAAAAATAGTAAGCAATGAATCTTTGTTGCAATTAACCATTGCTGGACTGGACCCTTAATACTTAACATATTTCAATACAGAAAATGGTATTCAGTTTGACATGGTTTTTATACTCATTTTTCTTTTTCTAAGTTCTAGTCAGGCTTTAAGATCTGCTGGCGAAGATCTTCTCTCGGTCCCACCTCCGTCTCAAGTACGGTCAGTAGGGATGAGAGAGAGGGCCGCCTCGGAGGTGGCCCCCTGGCTTTGGAATGCCCTCTTCAAAGAGATTAGGGTAGCCCCCACCCTCCACTTTTTTTGTAAACAACTGAAAACATGGCTTTTTACACAAGTGTTTAACCATGTTTAGGGATTATGAATCACTATACAGTACTTGTAAACTTAGTGAGTGGTCACTGTTGCACTTTACGAGAACGAATCTTGCTCTTAGCCACTATTTTATAGCTTGTCAGGTCTTTTAGTATTTTTAATTGATATGGATTTTATTATTTTTATATATAATGTCATTAATTTAAGCCTTTATTTTTTTTTATATGTATATTGTTTGGCACTACTGAGTGAGCCGCCCTGAGTCCCACCAGGGAGATGGTGGCAGGATAAAGTTTACTATTATTATTTATCATTATTAATCTCTCCTTTAAGGAAAAGCAATTTCAAAACTGCAATGCATGTTTCAACTGAAATAAACATCCCATCGTTCCTGTGTAAATAATAAGTGTCAAACCTTAAATACTAGACAGGACTAGTTAAACTAATTATTCAGGTGTGTTGACCAATTGTACAAAATCAATGTTCAACATCTAACATTCGGAATGTACATATATGGACACCTAAATCCACTATAACCTTACTGAAACATAGCCTTGTTGATCTGACAAATCATTTTCATATTATGCTTCTAATAAATAGAAAAAATGAGCCACAGTGCCAGCTCAGATTTTCAGAAAAAGTGCACTCATCTTCTAGGGGCAATATCACTTCAGAGCAGAGGATCAGGCTTAATGTTTGACTTCTCCTACATAGTGAAACTTTTGAGACAAGGATTCTCAACTAGACTTTTCCTTGCATGTTTGCTTTTGGGATGTAGAGAAATCTTAATGTGTAAGCCTTCAAAAAGACAAACCTTCCATCTCTATTCTGCAGTAGCACAGTCCCAGAAGACTGTAATGTATATTATTTCTGAACAATTGAAATCTGAGTTTACTGAAGTTAGAGTAAACTAAAAACTTAAGGTCAATCAGTCAAGAAATTATAATGTTGGTAATTGAAAAAGCCAAAAGAGCTTTTTAAAAAGAGCAATGGTTTCATTTCGCTTACACAAGATATGGGAGGGAGATCTTATTGCACTCATCAATAAAGCTCATTTGATCTTCTGGAAATGAACCTTTTGTATAGAGGAAGGGCTACAGGATACCAAAGAGTATGGCAGTGAACATGACTTAATCTGAGAGCACTTTTCATAGGAACATTGTCTGAAACAAAATAATGAGATTGACTGTTGAAAGCAGAAAGGACAAAACAACATCTCTTGTATCAAGGGAACAAAATCCCTCTGTTCTCTGACCTCAAATCTATGACATAAGCAAGTACGATCTTAAAACAAGTCTGCAAACCATTGATGATTACATTTAAATAGTTTTTGATGTGTTGAAAACAGGAAGAAATGGGTGCTAGAAGTGTTTTTCCATGTTTCGCATCCTTTGTGTAATGAGACCTAACACAAATCAGCTTTAAATAAGACACTTTTTTAATTGGTTAAGTTTTCAATATAATTACATGTTAACAGTTGCAATGATATCGCGTTAGTGCTATGCTAGCATGCAGCTTATTCTATCTGTTCAATTTCCTTCTATTTATTTTATTTATACCATAAGAAAATCATAAGAGAAATCTCTTATTCTTACTTCTTTCTTACTTTCTGGCTTGTCTTTTTCTTTTCCCTTCACCAACATTCTTATATGTTTACCTGCCTCCCCACCAACTCATTTTTTCTAATGCGCATATTGTTTGAATCACTACCACCACAACTACAAAAGAAGGAGTAAAGCATAGATAAAGCTTTTAAGAAGCCGCAGTGGTACTATCTATCTCCTTCCTCTTATAGAATGGAGCCACTGACTATAGTTTGGTTAACCAAATAGAAAAAGCCCCACAGTGTATAACTAAGAAATGAATAGATAAACAGCAGGAGAATCTATGCTTTGCAAGTGGGAGGACTTTTCAGACAGTCATAAGTGCCAATTACCGAAAAAGAGGATATCACATTTTTTCTTAAACATTTCAGTGTCCAAGTACAAAACTGTGTCTCTTTTTTCACCACAAAGACATGACATTATTTTCCTTTGCCTTACACTGAAAAAAACGGTAAGTGGGCAATGCATAATATACCTACCACTAAGAACTCTTTTTTGTCCACCATCTCATTTCCATCTGTATCAAACATGTTGAAAGCTATTCTAAAACCAGCATGTGGCTCTGTGAAGAAAAATGGGGGGGGAATGTAGCAGAGAAAGTCACGTATAATTATGAAGTGCAAACACAGATACTGAAATCAAAAGTAGACATGACAGTAAGTTTCATGCATTTGGAGATGACACAAAGAGTGGGGTGATATGTTCAATTTTAAGAACAAAAGGAGTGCTATGTATGTTTGCTGTTTACTTTTCTGACTGTCAGCAAACCACAGACAGCAGGTGTGACCTCAAGCCAGTAGAAAAGGCTGCTGAGAAGGTACAAATTCGACTCAGGCCCCACCTATACATGCTGTAAAATCCAGAATGATGTGGATTGTAAGAGAGTAGCTAAAATGTACATGCCTAATATGCACTGCAACACACATCCACATTGAAAAAAAGGTGTGTAAAATTAGGAGAAAGTCTGAAATCAGTGATAAAATGCACTGCAGTCGATCAGTGCATGGACACTGCAGAGAAGAAATTTGGAGGGAATATGAGTAGCACTTGTGTAAACAGTGCCACCATTGAATATATGGATACAGGAACTGGATATGGTGCTCTCAAAGAGATAAACATGTTTTCTCCTTTTGTTTTGAGTTAGAAGATGAATCCCACCACTGAGTCTCATCCAATGGGCTGCTGCAGTTCAGTGCATTTCTCTCGATGGGGTAAGAAAACAATTATGCCATTCTTTAGGATCGATTTGGCATGAAGGGGGTTTGTGGACTCCACAGGAGCTTTTTCATGGTTCTTGCAGTTCATGTGGAGACTCTCTGGAGTGGAACTAGACTTCTTTAATCCACATTATGATCCAGATTATGTGGCTGGTAGAAGCAGCCTCATTTGCACTGCACTTTTGCTTTTAAGAGCCCTCAACCAACTGCTGCTAAAGAATTTAATTAAATCTTAACTGGCACAATACAGTTTAGAAAGTAATATCTAAACATAACTGCAGCAGGTTATGCCTAGATATGATTTTCTAAATTGTATTATACCCATCAAGATCTAATTAGATAACCTCCACTCCTGAAATCTGTCGGTAAGTACACTAACTGGAATTTGCATTACCCATATTCAGTCAGCATTTGTTTGGGATACTGCATGCACCAGATATAATGTAATATGGCAAGTGATTTATGTACTGATTATTGATTAAATAGTAAAAACAACTGCAACAATCTGATCACTATACTCTGTGCAATGGCTTTCCTCGGTTATTGTAGCATTAATTTACCATGGATTGCTTTGATGGGGGCAGGCCAGGTGATATTCCGGGTCTACCTGGCATAATTCCTCAGAATTTCCATGATAACAAGCAACTGATAATCCTTTTGTCTTCTTTTATTTACATGGAAATTTCTTCCTACCACAAGTAATCATGAGTTCAATGATAGTCTCAGCTCTTTTTGCTCTATAGCCATTTCTCTCCTACTGTCCTGCTTGTCTGAATTCCTATTCAGAGATGATTCAACAGAAGTTGAATTTTGGAATCAATTTTGCTTGGAAGTTCCTTTTGTTTTTTTGAGGAGCAAATAAAGAGTCTTACATTAGAGTCAGCAGAATATATTATGCAAGTCTGTAGAGAATTTTTGAGAAAGGAAATATTTTGCACAATTCCCATGGGCATTCTGGGGTGGTAAAGTCATATGAACTGCATCATATTTGTACTGAAACTAACTCCTAATTTTATATGAAGAAAAAGAGGCCAAAATTCTTTCTGATTATTGATTCCTGACAATACTATAGTTCATTTCACTTCCATTGTGGTAGGTAATCTGCATTGTATATTTCTCAATATAGTGAATATAGTAAATTATTTAATCAATGGTGCTTTTAAACCACCGTATTTTATCAATTCTAAGAAGCCATCGATTGTAAGATGCACACTAATTTCAGTACCACCAAGAGAAAAAAAGTTTTGTTTATATATTTTTTAAACCACCTGTGATTTCTAGATGCAGTCCATTTTTAGAGATTTTGTATGGGGAAAAGGGTCTTAGAATTGAGGAAATAACAATCTAGCAAATGTAAAAGAAACCAAATTTAAACTGTAACCTCTATATTAAGTTATTTCAGAATGTTTCAGGGAGGTAAGTACTCTGGAAGTTATGAGAGTTCCCACTGTACAAAAAAACTTAACATATTTCAATAAAGGTTAAGTAATATTTGCAAATATAAAAAAAGTATTTCCCTATGGAGGATATTTACTCAAAAAACTTACTTGTTAAGATACATAACAGAAAGAGATATTCTGTGTAAGAAATCACACCTGAAAAAACACAAGCCAATAAATTAATCACAAGCAGTTATAGAGAACAAATTGAAGTTTTAATGGCATTTTTATACCACCTTTTTTCAACAATCCTAGAATGCCTTAATAATTCCTCTACACTCATTTAATCTTCCCAATGACATTGTCAATTAGGTTAAACTATCCTCAGTCTGCTTAAGATCAGTTACTGATGTGAATGTTCATAATCTTAGTCTGGCATTGCATCCGTCAAACAACTGTAAGCAGTGACCTCCTCCCCCCCTTCCTCCCCCCTCCCTTTTTTCTCTCTCTTTATATACAGGCAGCCTCCAAGTTACAAATATCCGATTTACAAATGACTCATAGTTACAAATTGGGATGAGACAACAGGAAGGGAGCAAAATTACCCCTTAGAAGGGAAATTCACTTCTGGAAGAGTTATCATGGGGAAAAGGTGTCTCCACTGAAGCTTTACCACCAATCCTTGTTTCCACAACAAGCCAAATTTTTCAAAATCCAATTATCTCAAAGTGGAGAGAAATCTACAAATTCAATTTAAGATCAAACCTACAGAACCTATCTTGTTCGTAACTTGGGGACTGCCTACCTGTGTGGCAATACAAGCGGAGAGTTAGATCAACAACTGTGCCCTTGTAACTATTTCCTTTCATGTGCATGACAGCTCTTTGGACTGAGGTGGTATTTCTTGACATTTGTGTCATTGAGCAAGCTATCAAATTTCATCACTGTTTCAAATAATCCATAGTACCTTTCTCCCGGAGATTCCGAAAAAGTTTAGATGATCCTTTCCAAACTGGTGGAGTTTCTAGAAGTATCTGATTCAATTCCTGCAAAATGATCAGGGTGGGGAAATACTGAATATACAATACTGACACAGTGGCACTGGAATCCTATCCTAGAATCAAAAAATCATAGAATTTGAAGAGACCACATGGGCCATCCAGTCCACCCCCTGCCATGGAGAAAAAGCACAACCAAAGCACCCCTAACAGATGACAATACAATCTCTGTTTGAAAGCCTCCTTAGAAGAAGCCTCCATCAAACCTTATTTGGAAGTTTTTTTAATGAAAGGCAGTGGGACTTTGTTCTATATACACTATATATACACACACCTTTTTAATTCACTAAATATTGATTGATTGACTAAATATTGATTGAGTAAATATTGATTGATTGACTAAATATTGACTGAGTAAAATCAGATGAAGAGTTTGTAAAAATACGCAGGAAAAAAGAAACCCATGGAGAGCCTTCTTTTGCCAGTTTTCTCTTCTGCTCTGCGTTGTATTTTTACGGTATTCACTCTTTGTCTTTTGCACTTGAAGCAGTTTTCTACTACTGACTTCCCTCAATGTTGATTCTTCTTCTTATTTTATTATTATGTAGAATTTGGATTGAGTTAAGTTCATGAATGAGCTTATTTCTCATGACTACTCATGCCCTATATAACACCAATCCACCTAATGCCAAATATCTCAACTTTTACATAGTTGAAGATAGCAATGAATTTTTAAGATCCTTAATTGAAAATTTTGAAGAAAAGTATCGCTTCCTGTTTTCCTGCATGCAAAATATGTGGTTGGGAATGCGGAGGCAAGAAAGTGACAGAAGTTCAGTTGTGCAGAAAAATATTGTGCATAAATTAAAGACGCTCTAAAAATCTGAGCTTAAGAATCCTTTGCTCAATTTACTGACTCATCTTTGCAGCCATCCACTTGCTGTACGTGCAGTGGATCAGCATTAAGTGGAAAAAACTCCTTGTTAATCCTTAACAAACATAGTAGTTAGTGAAGTGTTCATAAAAATGCTGGCTGCCATTATGCAAACCTATTATGGAGTTTGTAGTCAAAGGACAAAAAGAGACCCTTGGAAAGAGCCAGTAACAAAATATGCTTTCCTAAAATCACCAGTGACAACCTGTCATTCTCTGTAAATCCCACAGCCTGGGCCTGCTCTAATGTTTTGATTACCAAGTTATTAAATGATAATGTAACAAATTAAAGTTTGATATTTAGTGTATATTCTACTAAATTATTTTTTTCAATTGTGAACATTTGACATTATCACATTAATTTCTAAACCTAACATTCCAAATTCTGGTTTACACAAAAAAAAAATTTTTTTTTTGTTTTTTTTTTTTCATTTCAGGAATGACTTGAGAAACTGCCAGTCGTTTCTGGTATGAGAGAATTGGACATCTACAAGGACGTTGCTCAGGGAACGCTGGGATGTTTTGACATTTTACCATCCTTGTGGGAGGCTTTTCTCATGTCCCCACATGGGAAGCTGGAGCTGAGAGAGGGAGCTCATCTGCTCTCTCCTCACATTCGAACCTCTGACCTGTCCTGCTGGCACAAGGGTTTAACCCACTGCGCCACTGGGGGCTCCTATTTTTTAGCTGTGTAAATCAAAACTGAAACTCACCTGCTTTGAAAGAGACTTCCACTGCTTTGGTTCTAAAAAGAATACAAAAATATATCTTTAAACAAAAATTAATGCCATGCTTCTATATACTGCTAATTTGATCAACAGTCACTTATAATGAATATTGCTTTTCCAGCATTTAAATCATATGATGGAAAACATATTATTAAGCCTATACTACTCAAGTAGGCTCAATAATATCTTTTAGTAATATGGTTTAAATGCTGGGATAGAAATATTTATCGTATAAATAACAGTCTAGTCTAATTGGGATGTCATAAAAAATATTTTGATGCATATTGTTAACTAGTAAATCAAATACAGTTGTCTTTAATGCTGATTTATAGTTAATCTTCACCTCTCCAACAGAGAAGAGATTTGAATATCAGAAAACTGCTAATAATGGACTTAATAATTTAATCAAAATTGATTTGGATTTGGCATTGTAAAAAGGTTCTCCTCACATGAGAATAGTTCAGGAATCTGTGCCATCTCAAGAATTTATTGAATTCCAGGAACACATTTTTCAATGCAATACATAGATGGAAGCATATTCAATAAATAATTTTACAGCCCTTAGGGGCTATTTTTGGCCCACATTTTGCCTCATATCTACAGAGGAACAACCCACAATTCTCACCCAGTCAAGCTCTGTAAAAGGCATGCCTTTTCAATCTTTTGCAAGTTAAACTTCTGACAACATAGATGCATTATATGCCAACATATATATATTTTTTCAAATATTTCCATTCCTAATAGGGTTGTTTCTTTACATAAGGGTTTAAGGATAAAACCAGTACTTTGAATTGAGCAGATTGAAAGCAGGTTGGTATGGAATATATTCTCAAATGTTGCTATTTTCCTGCTTTTTTTTAACTTGGGGGGGGGGGGCGCGGGGAGCCCTGAGACATATTGCTGCTTTACCGATTCTTTTCAAATAATTTCTCAAATGCTGCCTTTTTCACATACCCTTTAAATTATTCTCTTGATGGTTATGCTAAAGCAGGCTTGCACAACCTGGGACTCCAATACTCAGAAGCACTAGCCAACTTGTCCAATGATCAGGAATTATGGAAGTTGAAGTCCAAAACATTTGGAAGACCACAGGTTGTGCAGGCCTGTTCTAAAGTATAACCAGTGATTAAATATTCACAATGCCCTTTGTCCACTTGAACTTCTTGTTTTTCTCTCTCTCCTTACTTTATTGTTATTTGCCTATTTTAGATAGCAAGGTCCTCGGGGGAGTGGGCACTCTACTTGTACAGGGTCCAAATATTTTGAATGCACCAGGAAGATGATCTTGGAAACGGAGCACTGAGAATTTGAATAAGAAACTGGCAAGAAAAAAAAGCGGGTCCCATGGGTTGTATTTCAGAGGGAAGCAAGATTGAGTTCTGAGTGCTCCTTGCCTAAGAACCCCCTCTATAATATTAATGTTTTTACTCTGAATCAAATCAAATCAAATCAAATCATTTATTTCTGTCATAGACCAGCACAGGAAATAGAAATCACATTTTCATACAAACTTGGTACGTTTAGTACATTAAAAACATAAATATAACTACTGAAGCACAATGTAGGTGAGGAAGCGGAGGGGGAAACAGGGTAAAAACATACAATGCACAGATCCATCACCAAATTGTAGATTCAGGGAAGATGATTACTGGACACACAGTTAACTTTTGGGACTAGTCATGCCCTGACAGATTTTGTATGCTGCTGCACAGAACGTTGATTCAATAGGCTACCTGAAGGCCCCTACATAAGTACAAAAGGCAGCATACAAGCAAAAACAAGTTAATATTATATTTTTGTGATTTATAGACTTTCTAAAGTTCACTGGCTTCAAGTTTGGCAATGCTAATGCTAATATATAATGGTAGAGACTTAGGTCTGTAAACATAACCCACACAAAAGGGGAAACAGTAATTTAATGCATGTTCTTTATAACCTCTGGAGTGTGAGAGGGTACCATACTTACGTCTTGGTTCATCATTTGAAACAGACTGAATGAAGTCATATGGTGTCATGAATAGTTGCCCTTCAAATTCTAAACTGGAAAACATACGAAACCGCTGCTCTCGGGAAGTTGCATAGAGATCCAGATCTTCATAATCTGGTCTACCATCTGTGGTCTTTTAAAAAGACAAAAGAATTCAATAGTTTATTAGTTGTTTTGAGTACTGTCTTTTTTAAAAAAAGGTTTTCCTCTGTAGTTTCTATCTTACACTCTAAACTGGTTCATGTTTTCTTCACAACCTTTCCAAAACATCCCTTTCTGAATTCATAATTATCGTTTTTTCTTTTCTAATCAATAATTTAATCTTTGTTGTTGTTTATTCATTCAGTCGCTCCTGACTCTTCGTGACCTCATGGTCACTTAACTGCATGAAAATGTGGTATTCATGTACAAGCAATCTGACTATAAAAATGTCATCGGTTAAGGAAATTTTTTATGTTTCTGATTTCTTTCTATTATTATGGATGCATACCTTAGATCATGTTACAGGGCAGCAAGCCAGGAAATTTATTGGTAAAGAAGGACTTAGACAAAATTTGTTTCGTTTTCTCCCCTGTAAAGCAGTTTGTAAAACAGAGGACTTCTCTTCCACTATGTATCATGTTTAGTCCTTTTATGAATGCACGTTGCTCTGGGATAAAAAACGGCAGAAGTGTGCCCAAGCCATGCAGATTCCAAGTTTTTTGTGAGGCTTAAATAAAATCACACCTGACAGGTTCTGCAATATGACCCAGGAATGGACAAAAGCACTGCTGAGGTAATGGACAAGAGTCAATAAGTATCTAATTTCTATTCTTATTTCTGGAAATTATCTGATTCAAATCACTTAGTAATTAAACACAAACTCAAAAACTATCATGAAACCATATCCCTATCAAAAGCTTTAAATACTTGTGTTTACTAATCTTGACGATCTTGCAGTGATGTTGTATCTTGTTATAGCTCAGCACCTTTACAAAACTGGTCATTGACACTTCTCTCAGGGAAATTATCATAAACATCTGATTTAAACTATTATCTTCTTATAAATGACAAATTTTAGTATTCAGATTCAGGATTACAACACATTCACATTAAAGCTTACCAGAGATCTTACCCTATCTGTTCAACTACAGTAATATCACTTACTTACTTACTTACTTAGGCGATCCCTCGTTGGACGAGTAAGATGGTCTTCCATTATGGATTTCCTTGTGGGTCTGTATGTGACTATGGAGCCCTATTCTTGACCTGCATCTTCTCCGCAGTGAGGGCATTGGTTTCCAGGTGGAAGGATCCGGTCGGGGTTGGCTTGACGCGCCTTCCTCCTGGCACATTTCTCTCTTTCACCCTCCACTTGTGCCTCCTCGAATTCTGCAGCACTGCTGGTCACAGCTTACCTCCAGCTGGAGTGCTCAAGGGCCAGGGTGTCCCAGTTCTCAGTGTCTATGCCATAGATTTTAGGGTTGGCTTTGAGGCCATCTTTAAATCTCTTTTCCTGTCCACCAACGTTCCGTTTTCCATTCTTAAGTTCAGAGTAGAGCAACTGCTTTGGGAGACGGTGGTCAGGCATCCGGACAACGTGGCCGGCCCAGCGGAGTTGATGTTGGAGGACCATCGCTTCAATGCTGGTGGTCTTTGCTTCTTCCAGCACACTGACGTTTGTCCGCTTGTCTTCCCAGGAGATTTGCAGGATTTTCCGGAGGCAGCGCTGATGGAAATGTTCCAGGAGCTGCATGTGACGTCTGTAGACAGTCCACGTCTCACAGGCATAGAGCAGGGTTGGGAGGACAATAGCTTTATAGACAAGCACCTTGGTCTCCCTACGGATGTCCCGGTCCTCAAACACTCTCTGCTTCATTCTGGAAAATGCTGCACTTGCAGAGCTCAGGCGGTGTTGTATTTCAGCTGTTGACTTTGGTGGAGAGGTGGCTGCCAAGGTAGCGGAAATGGTCAACATTTTCTAATTTTACACCATTAAGCTTTATTTCTGGCATTGGAGAGGGATTGGCCGGTGACTGCTGGAAGAC